CAATATATTAAACTGACCTACGTAAAATATTACATGTAAAATATTATTTCTGCCATAAAACACATAATCTGTCACTGGTATAATTCCATTAGAAAGCATACATTAAGGTCCATGTATTATGATCATTAGGATAATAAAAGTAATACAATATCACTTTTATTATGTTTGAATTTAAAACATTCTTCATACGAGCACAAAGAATAATTAAGGGGATGGAAGAAAGGTGGGTTTTTTAAAATTTATAATGAAATAAAATCACAGGCGAGAGCAAAGAGACTGGTTTTTAATCTGGCAAAACAGAAGCTATGCTTTTTACACCCATTGTGTAGTCTTAGACTTTTCTCTTTAAATTGCCTTATTTTTATAACTTTGTTTTTTGTCATTCAGTATAGCCAGTATAACCCCTTCTAACTCCCTCTCTGAGTGTCATGGGGCTTTAAGAGGGAAAACATTTCTGCTTCTCTAAAATAAGAAATACTTCTCCACAATAAATATTCTCCACAAGAAGTGGAGGAGAGGAGCTGGGACTTACAGTGTTGGACACCTTAGCAGTAGGAAAACTGGATGCATTTAAGACATTAAAATTCTACTTGAGTTTCAGTGAAATGATACTCCCTCACAATTCCCCACTATGGTGGAATGCCAGTGAAAAGATGGTGCTGTGTGCAAAGCAGCTATGTCCCCAGCAGCTGGCATATATGTACTGTCACTTGCCAAAGAGCAATAGCTGTAGGAGAGGACTTCATGTTCTGCCTGAGGCATGTGCAGAAATTTAGCAGCATGCTGTTTTGAAATGCAGGAGTCATTTCTGTCTTTAATCCCTTCTCATGGTCCAGGCACCTGAGGCATGTCAGTTACATCATTTGGAGCTACTTGAAAAGACTTTGGTGGAAATACCCTTGCATGCCCATAAGTGAAGAAAACCATTTAAATGCACATTTTTATCCATTTCCTATAATAACCAAGTAATGTTAAAACTAAATATGACCTCTCCTTTTTCTCATTTTTTTTTTTAAATTTTGAATCTGTTTCTTTCATGAAGTATGTGAGAATGAATTATTTTCTTCAGAGCCACTCCATTCTGAGGTCTTGTGCACGCTAACCATCAGTCTACACAGCTCAGTAGCTTTATGGAGAAGGCAAGGGCCAAGAGGTGTCTTTCTCATGAACAGGGAACTTGGCATAGAAGTCTCTGAAACCCTTTGCTCCCAGCCCATAAAGTTTTCTTGCAAGGGGAAAAGACTCTCTTCTCTGACAGTAATAAAACACATTTAGAAGACTGGAACTACAAGCAGGATTGGGATTCATATTTTCTGGAAAGGGTGCTGGGGTGTACCATATCCTTACTTGCTAGCATGTCTTGTTAGCTTTAGTGCATCTGTAATCTTGATTTATAGCAGCTTCTCTTGCATAGAGAAGCAATGCTCTCAGGCTTGCAGTGAGGAAACTGTGGAATGGACACAGTGCTAAAACAACATCAAATTTTGAAACTGTGTTTTCTATTCTGTTCAAAAAGTGGCACATGATGGCCACACTTCTAGGATGCCCCCATGAACCTGATTGATAACACTTCACTACTTCAGGAATCCTCAGATCCTATCTTAAGCTAAATTAGAATCAACTATCCCCCTGGAAATAGCCAGATATGGCATTCTGCTCAATGTCCTAACAGGCTAAAATGTTTCCATTCCAGATTTTTGGAGAGCAAAGACATATGCTTCTGGAAATCCAGAAGAGGAAATTGGTGAGTTCATGGTGAGATGTTTTCTTTCACACAGGAAGTTAGAGTCAAAGTAACAAAACTGAATGCCTTTAGAAGAGTTTATGTACTTTTTATGTGTAGAAGATAACTATCTGATTGTGTGTTTTTATTACCTAGTACAGCAGAGTCCTGTCATGTGACTCATGCTTTAAATTACTTTTAGGTAAGCATCATGAGCATGGGGAGTAAAAGCCTAGAACACAGATTCTGAACACATGCACCTTCCTGCCTCACATATGGAAGTGGACCCTCATGTACACACACTGATGCAAAATCACAACATGGTGCATAGTTTACACTTCAAAATTCCCCTGCTTCCCCCTAGCAAAAACTTACAGAGGCAGAATAGTCAGGCAGGGCAGGAGGGTAAGGACTAGGAGGTGGACTCTTATGTGCAATAAGAGTTTGGCAGGATACAGAGTGGCAAAGGAGTGGGGATGGGGTATTTTGCTTCAGGGGGAAAAGTATAGCCCTAGCTCTAAAACTCAACTGAGACCTGCACGTACCAAAGGCTGAAGTTGTTCTTTATCATAAAACACCCTTGAGCCCCTTAGCAATGAGTTCACATGGATTCGTGATATACAGGCGTTTGAAAGAGTAGACTCAGACTCTTCTCAGCTTCCTAGTCTGGCTCAGCGTTATCATTTTGTAAGGATGCATTTAAACTTTGGAAACTTTGTGTCACATGAGAAACACAAAGACTGCGTTTATCACTTAACGGTGTATACTCACTGACTTGTTTTCAATATTTGCAGATTACACGTACGTTATTATAGGAGTTACTCTGGGAGCACTTCTATCAATTGGTTTTGTAGCAGTAATAATCTGCATGATCAAAACCCAAATGTTTGAGCATGTCTCTGGAGGTAAGAAAAAAAACTCCTGATCCCTTATCCAGAGATCTAGTTCTCCATATCTTCTGATACAGCAGATCAGAGCTTCAGTGTTAGCAATTGTGTATGTACAACAGCTCTGGTTTTCCTATGAAGAACTCTTTTAAACATGTCTGAAGTGATGGACTGCCTAGAATTGTAGATTCAGTATAATCAACTCTTTAGCCTCAAAGTTGTTTCTCATGATATTTTGGGTATGTGCTACAGCCAAACCCAAAACTGCCAAAATATTAGCAAAGATACAGCTCTGAGGAAAAGAACACAAGATATTTCAGCTGGAAGAATTAGGAAGGGCTTTAGGAAAGTTGCATCACACAAATATCAAGAGTTTTGCCTCAGAAAGGATGGCTGTATCTTTACCAACAGTAACTATATTCCCCTGGTTCCCTCCTTAAAACTTCTACACAGGCCTATCATCACCCAGTTCCTGGTTTCTTAACTAACCACATTGTCCTGTTCTCTCTTTAGAGTCAGATGGCAAGATGGATAGAAGGTAAGAGTCATTGTGGTTTCTGAGACTGTGTGATACACAAACCATAAGTTCAACTCCTCTCTCTCTCTATGCATGATGCTTTCCTATGACTGCCATTTGAATGATTGCACAGAACACACATGTAAACCTTAGAGGATTGGGATATCTGGTGGATCTGTGTGGAAAAAGGAAATTCCTTGTAATTTCAGAAATACACAAGAAATCCCATGAGACTGAAATCCTTTTTAGAAAGAAAATCCTTCAAACACTTGTGATTAGGCTTCTTCCTTTTTTTAGTTTATACTAGATACAATAATAGCAAACTGTGGGTAAATGACTTCATCAAAGGTTACTGTTTCTGGATCTTATTTTGGAGGGTTCCCTTCACTCCTGGCTCTTATAGGTCAAGGTCATGCAGTGATCATTCCTGCTGGAAGGGATGCATCTTTACCCTTCACCTTCCTCCCCCCTACCCAGAAACAGTATGGCCATTTTAGGTTTCAAGCACCTGAGTGTTCACCAGTAGAAGAGGCAGTGCCAGACTGCTTGGGCAAAGGCCACTCTACCTCTCCTCCAAGGGAAGGCAATGGGGAGGAGATGTACAGGAACAGAGACTCTGGACTGCAAGTTGTCTGTTGGCTCATGGTAACCTACAGATGTGGACACTTTGTGTCCCTTTGAGTCGTTTTAGAAGTGATTAAAAAAATCGCAAACATTAATTAATCAGCATTCTCATGAACTGAAGACAGCAGGTATACTCAGTGACCTCAGAAAAGGCTTTTGGCCTCTCTCAGAGAGCTGGATAGACGGATGTCTCCATCACAGCCATTCCTCAGAGCACAGCATAAATAAATACTGAACTGAAGATCCAAGTAAGGGCACCCCTTGCAGCAACAACTTCAATGTTTTACCTGTCCAACAGTGAAGGGCCCCAGTTGTGAAGCATCTGTTATTTTCCCAGGGAGGCACTTCAAAAGCCTAACACAGACAACTCTCATAAAATGTTTCCTTTCTAATAATACACTATTCTCTGACAAGACTCTGACAATTTCTGTGTATTAACCTAAAATAGATTAGGACTATGATAGGTTCAGAAGAACAAACAGAATACCTGGTAAAATTCATGGCATATTAAGGGCAGTATAGACAGAGCAATGAATGGGAAAGTCATGAGAAAGAGCTAAGCTAGAACTGAAAAGCCAGAGACCAGAGTCAAAAGAAAAAGGAATAAGGGGATGAGAGGGACAAAGAGAAGAATAGACACAGAAGGCAGATTTACTGCCTGGATGAAATGCAGACAGTATGATCTATGAACTGTTCCACACTGGACTTTCTACCTTCCCTTGCTGTTTGTTATATGCCATATTTTCCTTCTGAAATTATTAGTCTGAAAATTTATTATACCATCCTCTGATTTTTCTAGGGAAAATGACTGACTCTATCATGGCAGCAAAATTTAACCTCTTTAATGATGACATTACTGTGACCCCTTTGATGATTCCTTGTCCCAGTCTACAGGTGTTTGCCAAGAGGTAGAGTGAAGTTTCCAGTTTCATGACAAAATTCTGGTCTTAAGGCTGGAAGTGTGATACAACACACAAACTTTTTACCTTAGAGCCACTGACACTGACCAGTGAGAGAAGCTCCAATTCCACAATGTTTTGAGGCAAAACTATTTATGTTAAAGATTATATTTTTATGGTTAAGTAGAAAACAATTAGAAATCTACCATCACTTCTTAATCAATTGTACTTTTCAATTCTGCTGTGGTAGTGAGTAATTTACTCAAAATCTTTGTTCTTATTCACTTCATGTCATCTATGTATTACTCCCTGATGGGTCATTAAGAGGTTCTATAATACAGGTAATTATCTGTGCAAACAGTATAGGCTTCTACTGGTTTTGAGGAAACCTCTGAAAGTAAAAATACTATCAGAGCCATAGAAAACATTAAAATGCCCCTGTAAACTACTTCTTAGTAGGATTACTGAAATGCAGACATCTTCAAGCCAGCATCAGTACTTAGCAAGGGATTACCTCTGGTGTTTTGTTTTATAAACAAAGCTATACTTTTCCACATCTCAGATAATTTTTGCAGAACTTGTTTGGCTTTGCACCATCATTCTGCAACCCAAGCAATCTATACACAGAAAATCAAAAAGAAGTACAGCATTCACAATTCAATGTACTTTATCTTCCCTCCTAACCTTCTTCAGGGTAGGGCCTTCCCAGATGTTAGAGTTTGTGCTGACATGTTAAACTGCCTATGTCTAATGGAAATATCTTAAGGGGGGGGGGGAACTGGACCTTTATAGCAAAAAATATCTGAAGTATCTGGTAGCCTTCCATAGGGCTCTCACACATGTTGGCATGTCTTCATTGTAAGACCACATTAGACCAGAGGAAAGCGGTTATAAGCCATGTTTTGGATTCTAACATTCTTCATCTAACTGGTTGAGGTTGTAGATCTTTGAAAGGAGACGTATGTGGGGTAGCCATTCTTAACAGTGGCAACGGAAAAAAAAATATCCCCAAACCATCATGAACACAAAGCCACCACAATTCCTCCCAGTTTATTTCCTGAAAAGAGCACTGAAATATTACTTGTGCTGAAAACCTGCAATGTAAGTGCTACAGTAGGAGATTCCTCAAGAAAATCCAAGCTGTTCATTTTTATTCATGGTTATTTTTCCCCATATGTCATACTTTCCCATTTATTCAGGTCCCCAGAGACACATATGGTAATTAGGTCTAAGTTGATTTTAGCTACCTCCTTCAGTTTCCTACAGAATTCTAATTCATGGAATTTTTAGATCAGTGACTAGTCCTAGAAAACCTTTTGATAAAGTGAAGTCCATTATCCGAAATCACCTGGTTCTAGATTTACTCAAACCAACCATATGGCCATCCTGAATCCCTCAGGGATACAGGCAACCTGAAACCCTCAGTGTTTATCAAGACACCACCCTTTTAGGATAGGAGAGGAGAACTGGCGTATCTTCTGGAGACAACTTTGTTTTCTGCTTAACTAGTTGTGATTATTAATGTTTGTTCAGGAAAAAAATCCTTAATCCAACTGTTAGAACACTCACCAAATTCACCTTCAGCCAAATTTTGTTTAAAATTTCACATCATCATTCCCACAAGTGCCTTAAGCCACTCAATAATTTCTCTAGCTGGGAAATACTCTGAGTGGGTATTTACCCAGCACAGTACTTTCATAGTCGATGGAGTTGCTCAGCCTCTTAACAGTTGAAGGCCTTGATGCAGATAATCATTGTCTGTGTTAGAACCCTGGTTAGCTGGTACTGAACCAAACCAACAAATTGCAAGAACAGATTTCCAGTAAAGTCAGGAAGCATTTGTATGTGTCTCCCCTGATAGTTTCCCAAATACTTCAAACACAAGTGTTTCTGCACCCACATGACACTGACAACTCATTGTGAAACAATTAACAGCATTTACTGCTTTATTTAGTCAGGTATATAACATTAAGATTTAACCAATCAATTCACAATGGGATGCCCTTAAACTCAATGGGATATTTACTAACACTTGAGAAGAGAAAGGCTTGAGGCAAGCTTCTGTCAGCCAACAGAACAGTAATTTAGATGTCAACTGACAACTATTTAACGTCCTCTTTTTTAATTAATAGCTCATGTCAGTATCAAATGCCATCTTGGTGTAAGCTTGGTAAATTATAATGCCTCAAAATTCCATGCAAGTTTAATGTATTCATAAAAATGTCTGGGCACATTTAATGTTAGCAATATTTTGAGTTAACTACAGTGCATGGCAGCCAGATTTATTTTGACAGGAGACAAAGAGACATACAGAGACAAGAAGGGTGGTGAGACGGAGAATGTTTACTAAAAGGGAAAAGGTACATATTTTAAATCTGCTGCAAATGAATCTGTTGTCAACACGTCCCAGGCAACAGCACACACCAAAATTTCCCATGCTATTTACTGGGTTCTACAGGACCCAGCAGGAGATCAGGTTTTAAATGCAAGACACAAATTATTCAGATGTTTGATGGAAGAGAGGAGGAACTTGGGAGCTGCTTGCAAAATGTGTTGGTGATTTTCTTTTCCTTCCCAAAGCTTCATCTAGATGTTCTCTTGTATTTTCTGTCTTGACTTCTAAGGGACTGACTTCTCTGGCCTTTGCTAGACTGTGCTTGAGAAACACAAGATGCTTTTGAGAACTGTAGTGCTCTTTAGGTGAATGGAGAAGGTCTTGCACCTTGAAAGCTTTCAGTCTGCTCTAAAAAACCTCTAAAACAGTGCAATGAATTGCACAGGAGGCAAAATTCTCTACTTTGAAAATACAAACATCAGAGATGGATGGCATGGCAAAGACTAGGTTTGGGCAATCACAAGCAGACATGAATATTGAGCAGCAGTTTCTTCCAACTAGCAGAACTGTCATAGCCTAAACATCTGAACAAAGAGTCATGTTCAGGTCAGTAGCCTGACAGGCAGAAATAGTGAACAAGATCTGATCTAAAAATGTCATGTATTTCAAACTCGTTTGAAGTCAGATAGAAAGACAATTGTCTTGTTTTAGAGATGAGGGCAATTCTTTCTGATCCAAATAGTCCAGCTTGGTCTGGGATACTGTGATTTGCAGAATGCATCATTTAACAAACAGGAAGCCAAAAACATAGGCATGAGTCATATCACTGATACTATCACCTGCAAATGAGAGACACAATCTGTCTAGTCACCAGAATCTGACCTCACAAATAAACTTTACTGGAGATCTACTTTTGATGCTGAGGTGGGCACTTGAGAAAGTGGGAGTCCTTTGGAAAACAGTCCCAAAATTTACAAATCAAAATCCATACGTAAATACAAACTGAAAAGGAAAAAAAAGACCTTGTCCATGTCTGAAGGTGTCACTAGAAGAGTGGTGCACAAGGAAAAAGGGCCAAGATGGAGACCACAGGTTGCACAGGATGCAGAGTACTGAAATGCATTGCAGGGACTCACATGCTGTGTCAGCTATTCACACGTAACACTATACATTCATCCTGCAGCCAGGCAGTGATGCTGTCTCAGCTGCTTTACTATCCATTGAAATCATATCTGCTTAAGATAGAAGCACATAATGCTGCTCTACTGTAGACAAGTTCAATGGCAAAAGTACTTGAAATAGCACAATGCCAAAAATAAATCTGCAAAGGAATTATTAATTCAGGGAACAAAGATACCTTTCCCAAAGAAGGTTTTATACAAAGAAAGTGGAAAACAGGGAGTAGTATTTGTTCTTTTTAAGCCACATTATAGCAACTTTTGTGATTTTTGATTACTTTTCAATGAAGTAATTCCCTTCAGTGGAAATATGTCAGACATGGAGACAGATGTTTTCTTTGCACTTACCTGACTTTAGGAGGACATTTTTCCCAGCAATAAAGTCTCCAGGATATGATACCAGTTCATTCTGGTATGGAATGATACCAGTTCATTCTGGAATGATACCAGTTCATTCTCTAAACTTCATCCAAGCTGTAGTCTTCCTGCTAAGACCCCTATTAAAAAGTTAAAATAGGATTTGTTTGGATACCTTTGCAGAGGGAGATGAAATCAATAACTCATTACACAAAATGTGTGACCACTGAATTGTCTATCACTACAAAGCGCTAACAAACATTATCAACCAAAGATAAACAGCACACTTTTTTTCTTCCTGAGGTGTCTCATATTTCTGCATTAGCAGAACAGTGTCTGGAACAGATCAAATCCTCCAAGATGCTTTCCAACAGCAAACATAAACAAGAGCTTCAGCTGTCAGGGACTAGACCTGCCAGAAAAACACCTGGCAGAAGGCAGTTCACACTGCAGTGCAGATGGACCTCCCTGATACAAGAACTACTTTATATAGTCCCACAAAACCAGACCCCAGTGGATCTTCCCTAGCCCACCAGTTACCTCCCTTTCCCCACTCAGCTTAGTTTTCTCCTTGCTGTGTGCAGACATGGCATTTTTGCCATAGAAAGAAAACACTGTCAGGTCTAGAAAGAGCAAGGTTCAGCAGAGGGATATGGGAAAGCAGAGAAGGAAAAGCACCAGATACCATACCAAAGAGCTTCAGACTCTATCCAGATTTTGTCTGCCTCCCGATCACTGCAGCTAATAAAAATGGTAGTGCTCTATTGCATCCTAGTCCATCTCTTGTCCCATATCCATCCTGACTCTCTTTCCCAGTGCCCTCTGGGTTTTTTTCACCCCTCATCTTCTAGCCTGAAGGTGTCTGCTTCTTCCCACATGGAGGACTAGAAATGGTGGTGTTTACACAATTAAAGTACCTAGTTCTGTCACTGCCCTGTTTAGCTAAACTTGTTCTTCTGAACAACTTTGGACAAGTCACTGGTTCAGGTTACCCTTTCCTTAAAATGAAATTAATCTTTATATCACACACTCCAAAATCAAGGACACTGAGCTTTGCACTATGCTGGGGACAGCAGGCTTTAAAAAGCAGCACTAAGACACTCTGTAGGCACTTCCAGGTTCTCAGCTCCTCCTAGCACCATTCCTGAATTGAGGGAATACTTTGTATACAGACACACACTGAGAGACAGTTATATATTTTTACATAAGTATGGCCCAAACTGTTAGGGTGAGATTAATTCATTAAGCCTGTTTCCAGGATACAGCATACTTCACTGATGCCAGCTACCAGCCTGATGGGCAGAGCCACACTTCTGGCTATTTTTTGCTACTCCCTGGCCACCCTCCACATTCCTTGGGAGGGCATCTGGCCCAGGATGCCTGTGCTCCCTTGGGATCTAGGGGCTGCCTTTGTGGTTGACCTTTTCACAGCTGCCAAAGAGGGAGGAATCCTTACTCCTTCCTACTCCTCTGCACAACTGTTTGAGGCTAGTCTTGAGTAGCTCTAAATAATTTGATTGTAAGAGCTGGTGCCAAACCTGCTGAGTTCGGAGAATGCTTTCCTGGTAATATTCGGACACCTGTCAGAGGCAATTCCTTCCACAGCCATTGTGGCCTCTGCTGGCAAACTTGCTGGTGCAACTGATTCCAGCAATAAATGAGTAATTTTACCTTGCCCTGGACCTTCTGCAAGTCTGGATAAAAAAAAAATTTCAGAAATATTTCTGGAAGAGTACCTTTTTCACTCCTGTCAACAGGCACCCAGCATAACGCAAATACTAGATGCCACCAAGCACAGAGCCTCCTGCTCCCTGGCAGCACCTGTCTGCCAACCAGACTGAGGATTGACTAGGGCTTGTCAGAGAGGTGACAACATGGGATTAGATAGGAATGAGAGCTGCTATGATAGCTAAACAACAGCTTAAAACCAAACCAAACCAAGGCCTCTTGATGCAAGAGACTCAGAGTGCCACGGGTCTTCAAAAAGAACAGGATCAAGTCAGAGCTCCTGTGTATTCCAGCTCACAGATTTTCCTATATCACATTCAATTTCTGCACACAAGTTCACTCTAAACTTGTGAAAAAGGAATCACTGATTTCAGATGGACTCCTAGGAGCCTTTTTCAGTGATATCTCATAAAATAAGATTATTTATAGATCCTTTTTTAAAGATCATGTGTATAGTCTGTAAGATCATTTTATTTCAGTTCACAAATATTCAACTTTCCAAGAGTTCTGCCTTGAGCAATATGTACTAAGTATGATCATAGCTGTTTGTTTTTCTTCTGATGGTTGCTTATAATCATCCACTCTCCATATTCCATGTGCATTTTACAACCCAGCATCAAAGAACAAATAGTAAGCTGAAAGAAATGAGTGAGTATCACAAAGCGATGCTGACTTCTGCCTTGTAGGCTGCAAGTGCCTGGGGATCCATGGTGTATTTCTCAGCAGTTCTCAGAAGTTTATGGGCTTAAAGACTTTCCATATGGGTTTAAAATGGGGTTTAAAGACACTTTGCAGAGGCCTACAGCTTCGATGGAAAATTTGTACGGTCTTGTAAAGGAAAAAAACAGTAAACCACTGCCTGAGAAGTGAGTAGGTTATTTTTTGTGTGTGTGCGCATTAAAACAACACCTGGACCACTCCCAAATCTAATCTACTGCACAGACATTGAAACACCTATGCTGGCACAGGAGAGGTGGAGGCAGGGGCTGGATGCTGGAGACAAGTGCTGAAGAATAACTACTCCTTTAGGCAGAAACTCGCTTTTTAAAGTGCTTGTGAACTGGTTCCTTTGAATGAGCTTCTATGACTCCCTGAAGGAGAGTGAAGCATAGGATCAAGGGAGTGTCACATCTCTAGAGAAAGGCCTGCTTTGCTTCCCCTTCCTTCCCAGCACATCTGTATGTTCTGGTCAGGCAGTAACACATCTCCACTGCCTCAGGGAACTGGCCCTGCCAAAAATCAATGTGATAGAGCATAAAAATAATTTTCAGACATATTAGGTTGTTCAAGGACTTTTGGCACAAGGGAAATGGTAAAGTGTTACAGCTGAGGTGCTAGGGAAGGCTGGTCTGGCCTTTCCTGCAGCAACTGGCATTGTTAACAGTGGGAAGATTGCCTGAAAGCATCAGCAAGAAAGCCACTATCTTTAGGTGACTTACTGATTGGGCTACATGAGCACTGACCTCCCAACCAGTCTCTTCTTTGCTCTTCTTATACGCAGAGAATTGAGTTACTTAGGATTAGGCCACTTAGGCAATCACTTAGGAATGGCACTGAAAGACAGTACCCTTCCTAGCAGTTCCCTGCCAGGTTCTTGTCCTTGGACACAGTCAAGGGAAGGGATCAAGCGAACATCCCTGAACCTAATCCACTACTGATTCACCTCAACTAGCTCAATTCACTTTGCACTGGCCTGCTCTGTATTAATTTGTTGTTAGAAGAGGGAAAAAGGTTGTGGGGTTTTTTAATGGCTACCGGACAGGTAAAAATTTGTGTAGCAGTTCACAGGCTTGAATCTGTTATTTTGTGTGAAGAAATTTCTGACAACTTCATAAACACAGCCTATATCAGGTCCCCTGATTATATTTTGAAATGTCTCTCCTTTCTGTGAAAGAGCTGCCACAAACTGGAACAAGCTGAAATATATTGCTGCATAATTGTTACTTCCTGGGTACGGTCAGGGCTGTCTCACTAAAAGAAATTCCTTATGTCTGTGAAGTGCCAGATGGGTGCAGGCAAAGATGAGACAACACCCAGGTACATCCAGTGTGGTCACCGGGCTGCAGGCAAGCAGGCAGGTACAAAGGGTGAGCCTTTGTCCTTGCACTTCAGCAAATACCTTCCCTGGACACCCTGGAAGACCAGGACTGGGCAAACCTAGCAGAATGGGAACTTAGCTGTGAAAGTGCTGCAGGACAGTGCATACACTGACACCTTATAGAGCTGTGCTGACTCATCCCAGCCCCAAACTGGAGAAAGAAATAAGGGAGGAAATGGAGCAGAACAGAAAAAAATCCCTGGAATTCTAACCTATCCATATCTCACCATAGGGTCTCCCATGAACTGAGTGCCCAGTTCAAACTGGGCATAGAAAGATGAGAATCAGAATCTTTCAAACACTAACAGTTAGTATAGTGAGTTTCACACAAACAGAAAATTTTGCCACAGATTTCTAAAATACACGTGTGACAAAGTTTGTCTGAAAGAAGGAAAAAAGATGGAGGCAAATTATGTGAAACATGTCCCTGCCCACCAAATCTCCTGTAATATCCTTCTTTAGCAAAGACACTAGAGATGCTTAAGTAGTATTGAAGGAATGGGACTATGATGAATTCCATTTACCTATGGAGTAGTGAGAGCTCATATAAACAAGTCAAGGGCTGCAAGACAAGATCTTATTCACAAGTGCTGACACTAGATGGAGTAAAACTGAATAAAAGATTAAGAGCAGTGAAGAAAAGAGAAAAAAGTTCCTGCATTTCCCCAACTTCTATGGAGTTGCTCATTTGAATTCTCAGCTTTGATTACTGCTCTGAGGGTCACAATTAATATCTCATTCTCTATATTTTGCAGGTCAAACATGGGATCAAGCCAAAACAGGTATGTTCTGGGGGAAAGGGATTGCTGGTGGCACAGGGAGGTGGAGTGACTAGGCAGACACACAGAGGCTGTAGAGTCACATTCACATAGGAAAAGGTTGCACAGCAGTAAAGGTTGTGGGGTTACCCTGAGCTCCTGCTGACAGCCTGGATCTGCCAGACACTCTGTGTGGCTTTAGGCAGGTAATTTAGCTGCCCTGTCCTCCAGCTTCCCAGCTGCATCCCTGGAATACCCTAATAAAGCCTAGGCAGGTTGCAAGGCTGCCTGCCCTACGCAGCTGCAGTGCAGCTGCCCCCACAGCCGGTACTCAAAGTATTAAGTTCCCAGAAAGATGCAGCCACGACAGGGATCCAGGAGCTGCTCAGCTGCTCCTCACTCCTGTGGCAAGGCAATACTGGGAAGCACCCCAAGTGACAACAATCCGGTGCCTGCAGTACAGGGAGCAGTTCTTACAGTAGGATGCTACCCTAAAATGCTGCTAGTGGATTCCTACCTGGCAGTGATGAGGGCACCTGGAAGTCACCACAACAGCTACAGTCATGCATTTGTTCTGTTAAGTCACTCAAGAAAAAACAGATACCTCCAAAGGTACAAAGAAACACATAGCAAAAGGAAAGCTAAGCGAAAGGAGCTTCACGAATGTAATTCCAGCGGCTCCATTATTAATTTTCTAGAATTCCTATGATTTTTATCTGAACATCTCCCAGCACAAAACCAAAGCCAGAGACTTACTCTTAACCTGTGATTTTTCTTTCTTTTCAGAGATGACGTCCATGTACTGGAAAACCTAAGTACAAAAGATCAATAACCCTTTTGCAGTCAACAGTTACCTGGTCTGAGGATCGATAGAAGTCTCTTGTGCACAGGCAGGAATCTTACCGATATCAATTCCTTTCTTTGTTCTTTAGTTGAAAGGCTGATTGACTGATTACAGGAAGAGCTTATAGTGCATGCTAACTTCAATCACTTGCACCCAAAAAGCCTGCAATGCCCAACAGCATGTACATGAGGAAAATGTATGAAGAAAATAAAATAGATGAGCTCTGTTCATTAATAGATCCTGTTTAGTCTGTGATAAGTATATGATTAATTTCTAAAATCAGTTAAATACAGGGTAATAAAAAAGGTAGCCATATAATTCAGGATCAGAATTCATGATCACGCCCATATTTCAAGATAGGTTAATAATGACTGCACCAAGTTGGAAAATCATTCATTTGAGGTTGAAGCAACACAAGGCTTCTCAAATTTTTCAGAAAATATATATTTTGTGTTAATAGAAAAACATTTCAGCCATTTTAAAGTTTTATATTTTTTAGATTTAGGACTGATGTCTTTTGTCTGTAGGTGGTAGTGCTGATTTCAGACATTTTAAATGAGTTATGGTCATTTAAAATGAAAAATTCCTTTTGAAATAATGTTTTTCATGTTTTGTTGACATTTCACGTCAACACTGTACAAACAAGCTAATCTGACACTTCCAGAATTAACTCATCCCTATTTTTTAGTATAAGAAAATGCACTAAGTACAATTAGAATTTGTGAATAATTTCACTCACACACAACCTTAATTCTTGTTCTAGCCTTGTATATTCCAGTGTACTTGATTGCATCAAAATTGCTTGCCAGTTACAAGCTTCTTACAGTGGAAGTGACAAAAACAAAAATTATAGCTTTGTCTAAGAACATTTAGAATAATTTAAACAATTTTAAATAGTGTAAACCCAAGTTCCTTTGTTAACATTTCCCAACTTTTACCTTATCTGTTATCCTGTGGCTTTGGTCTCATTTCAGAAAACAATGCTATAGATTCTATTCTATTTAATCCTCTTTTTTTTCCCAAAATGCTGTATGTAACATATTGTCATTACAAGGTGTGGGAAAAGCAGGAAGGTTTTTGTATTTCAAGCCAGGCTTTCCTTTCAGCTTGTGACGACAGGGCAACAAATTCCAGCTGTGGGAGCTCGTCCAGCAGCAATACCACGCTGGGCATCCTCTGCTATTCCTACAGCTCCTCTCAGGAAACCCAGCAGGATTTAAAGGCTTGGGAGCCTCAGGTAGATGGCATGCACAACATTAAATAATGTCCCAGTATTTCACAGGCAGAGCATTACAGCATTATGTTGTGGCATTACAGGATGTCTCCAAACAGGATATCACACTATTTTATTGCAACCTACAAATAACCATTATCCACATCCAAAGACCATAAACTGTAAATAAATTGGATCTTCATAAACTTTTAGCTCAGACCAATGTCTGTAGACATGGATTTTTTTAATCTCTCATCTAACATACATTCTTAAAGTAAGCTTTGATACCTCTATCTGCTCTCAGTTGTGCCATGTGGCAGATCCTAAAAATAATGTTCTTTCCAGTTCTTCACTAATACAATAGATATAATCTAACTTAAAAAAAAATCATTTGTAAGAATGAAGTCTAACCTAGAAGTTCTGTGTATTATTAAGAAATATCACTTAAAAAAATCATGGAAACCAGAGCCTCCTAGGAATCAACTTTCAGATTATGAAGAGCTGCAATTAACCCTACACATTAAAGGGGGAGCTGATGTGCTGAATCAGGGACTTAAAAGTCAGTATGATGTTAGAGCATAAGAGCAGATATATCAGAATTTTGTTTTTATAAAGAATAAGCTACTTTAGTACTTGTAACTGTAACTGAAGGGATTTGAATATGTTTTTTTTCTGACCTTCACAGAGCAGGTAATTTTTCAAATATGCAAAAGAAACTGGACAGTAATTTTTCCACACATTTTGAATAACAAAATGTAAGGTTTATTTTGAGAGAAAAATGGTATATTGGTACACTTTCACTAGATTCCTATGTGTCTGTTACCCATTTCAGTAACACTGCAGTTCATTAGCACCATTTGCTAAGAGATAAACTAAAGCAGTAATGTGATACTTGTAAGTAATTGTGTGTACATGTGTAAGTGAATAAAGCATCTTGTAAGGTATCTGTTAATTGATTTGCTTCCTTTAGTATCATTTTAATTAAGAGTTGGAACAGAAGAGAGCATGTGGTCAGGGAGGAAAGTGATTACCTTCCCTTATTTATGTGAACAAATGTTTCAGTACACATCATTTTGGTACGGTATGGAAAGTAAAGATGAAAATAAACAAAAAAAGTTAAGTTACAAGCAGTAGAGGAGAAAGGCCTATAGAATTAAGGTTAGTAATCCTGATCAGGCAAATGTGATGGGGTGGTGATCAGATGATTTCTCAAAACCTTTAGCTGTGTGTCTTGGCTCCCTGGATATGGGAAAGGATAGGCAGTACTGAGACAGACAGCTGGGAACAAGGCACCTCCTGAGCTGCTGTCACTGAGAGGTTTGGGCACACTTAGTCACTGTTACACGAGGCTGCCCTGGCAGTCTTTTGCCCCCTCAGGGAGTTGCTGGTCCATTCCTACAACCAGCCTTACCAACACCACTTGCAGCATCAGCAGCTCCTGAATTTGGGCCAAGCTGCACAGCAGTGCTTAGTAATAATCAGTGAAGGAAAACTAGATGAAAGGTGAGCATTTTGGAGGCGCTCAGTCAAAAGACAAAAGACACTGTCGGCTCCACGAATTCCTGGTCAAGGATACAGCCCAGGCAGCCCACAACCCCCACAACAGGCATCTGCACTCTCCTGTTTGCATGTCTGGCACAGGTTATGCCTGCCCATGCTAAGCACCCGACACTCTGCCTGAGCTCACTGCCATTCTTCTGAATGGATAACAGTGGGAAGGACTTTGGAGTCAGGGTTTGGATACATGCCCCAGCATGCCATGCCTGGACCTCAGTCTCCTCACAGCAGATGCCCAGCGACATAATGATGCTTGTGAATAGAGTTATTCAGCAGAGGAGACAGTTGTAGACACAAGAAGTGAGCTAAGAGGTGCACGCACAGCATGCATTTCTAAAGAGATAACGACGCAGCATTGGCTTTAATTACAATGCAAGTGCCACAGCAACAGTGAGATCATTCAAGTCAAATCCTGCTGTCAGCTGCATCAGTGCAAATTGAAACTAACTGCAGGAGTCACACAGCTTGGTGCAGCCCTTGTTCACATGGTAATAAATCAGGCAAAAATCCACTGGACTCAGTACAGCTGCATGGGTAGAAAAGAAGTGCCTGTGGGAGGAGTACTGTAAATCAGACCCCTCTGATATAAATCTGCCCTGAGCAGGGAGAGGAAGAGAAGTCAGATTCAGCCCTTCTAAAACAGCAAGGATGGCAAACATCAATAGTCAAAATAGTTGCAACCTGAATCTTTCTTGGCTTCTCTCATACTAATAAAGGAAAAATCAGATCATTTTAGGCAGGAGTATTTTTTTCTGTTTCTTATATCTGCACTTAATCAAATAAAAAAGACTATTAAAAACACTTTCACTCATTGACCAAATATAGGAAAACACAAGAAAATGCTTACCTATCAGACCTAATAGAAAAAGGATGTTTATACTGTGTAAATAGGACCCATAGAGGCTTCAAACTTCTGAAAATTGCTCTCATTACACACAGGGAATATTACAATATAGCCAGCCTAGGTCTGACAGAAGTCCATCTTCTCCAATAGCCTCTCTGGCTCAGGGGCTAGTAACAAACATCTAGATAAAGCCTAAGAGCATTACAAGCATGTGCCAATACTCTCCTAGAAGACCCTACCACCCTACAGCAAACTTCTGCTTAGTGTTGCTAAGCTAAAAGTGGTCCTGTTCAGTCCTCGTTTATTTTTCTTCCATTGTCAGAAGGGGTTGATTCCACAGATAATATACTGTTATCCATTTAAAAAAAAAAATAAATAAAAAAAATCACACAAGCCTTTGCACTTTCTGTCACTACATGAGTGGATTTATATGAATTTCCATGCTCACACATCATGAAAGCAATTCACATAGTCCTAAGAAGGCATGTTTACTTTTTACAGAGAGGGGAAATGAGACATGGAGCAGCCCAAGTGCTGTGCCAAAGGCCAGTGCAGGATCAGCAGGGCAGAGAATACAGACAAAGTGTTCCAAGCGCAGTGTGGGTGAACTGACTAGTAGACCATCATTCTTCTTTACTTCTGCCTCCAACAAAAATGCTGCTTTTGGAATGGTTAGGTGTTAAGTATTTCACCTTATTGAATATATATGGTTTCAGTTCTCATATTTCAGACTTCAAGCCCTAGAAGAACCCTGTGCTTTCACTCACAGCTGCATCAGATGGGAGCCTCAACAAAGTCAGTGACATTACATAGTGGTTGAACACCGTGTGGACTAATAACAAGGCCAAATGTATCACAGGCAAAGTGGTACAATGTACACATTCTTTCTTCTGCATTCAGATAAAAATATGTCTCATGTTTCCCACCTTGCTTCACCCTCCCCTCTGCTGTAGCCCACACAGTGCTTGCAGGATGCTAATGGTGTTTCATTTGCACCCCTCACACCACTGCTGGTGGTGATCTGTGCTAATGCAGACAATCCACAAGGCCTTTCCTTTGCAGATCAGATCCTACCCAGTGCTATCAGAAATCTTCCTGAGTCAATGGGCAATTAAAATAATTAACTTTAATCATATTCTTCAATTACTTCACAGTACTGAGGGAGGACTCGGAGGGCTGGGACCAGATGCAAACATATTCTGTTGTGATTAAAACTGACTGAAATGCTCCAGTGAATATAAAACACTGACTATTCACCCCTTTTGGGAACAACCTCTGTATGTGTTAAGCTGCTTGATATTTAAACTCATTAGAGCGGCACTAGGGAAGCAACAGAAACCTGTGCTGAGTGCCCAAGGGCTCCTGCAGAAACCCCTTCATAGGAGCTGCCACCTTGAAATGCATGCAAAACACAAAACAGGTACTTAGAAGAAAAGGCTGCTGTGTGTTCACTGGATGTTCTAACAACAACAGGCAAAGCTACTATGAAGTCTGGGCAGGCTGGTAGGTGAATCTACGCCTCACATACTGGGTATCTCTGACAGGTCTGGACCTTGCTATTCCAACCCAAGTTCCTCTTTTAGGGGCTTCCAACATCTTTTTGTCCTGAGGGAAGGCCTCTGACCTCACGTCTCATAGGCTATAGATACCTGCTTGTTTCCCTTATGGCTCTCTCCACTGGAGGCTTCTGCTACTTCCTGCCCAAGGGATGCAGTGCCCAAAGTAGAGCTGGAACAGCTCTCAGGTACCTCAGGGGGTCCTGGTGTGAGGAGCTGACTGGATGTGTTTGGTATGGGACTAGGCAAAGTGGAGGGTTCACAATGACTTGGCTGGGAATGCCTGGGAAATTATTTTTTTCTGATAAGTGAACTGGTGATATAGAGAACTAAATATAGGAGAGAACTAACTGATGCTAGAAAGGGGTAAAAAGTGACTGCAGAGGAAAAGGCAGGATATGTGATCTTACACTTGCCTCAAATCAATATTTTAGTGATCAGGAACAACAGAAAAAGCAGAATGTTGCCAACAGTTATGCAACTTGGAGTTTTGCACTACGATACTCTTCTTGAGATCTGAAGTCTTCAAGTCATGCAGCTGTGGAAACTTTCACTTTAATTTAAAATATACCTTGTTTTAGAGACTGTAGAGAACACTTAGAAGCTCAGATCTCTGCAACACTATAAAGGCTCAGAAACTGGGAGATCAACAGTAGTAATAAAAAAAACCCCCAAACTCTATTATAAACTGTCAAGAGTATATGCTTATGGGTTTTTGAATTCTCAGAGTTACTAATACAAGCTCAGTAAAACAACAGGCCC